ATGTTATTTATCGAAGTGGTTTAGTAGTTTCTGCTCCTAAACTAAAAATTTTCCTTACCCAAGTAAGATTTCTTGGTCATGAAATTTGTGATGGAAAAATAAAACCCATTGACAGAAGTATTGAGTTTGCCTCTAAATTCCCTGATGAAATTAAAGACAAAACTCAACTGCAAAGATTTCTTGGTAGTTTGAATTATATTCGTAACCATAACAAGAATCTTGCACAGGATACAACAATTTTATATACACGGCTCAGAAAGTCACCTTCCCCTTGGACTGAAGAACATACGAGAGTTGTCCAGAAAATTAAACTTCGTGCTAAACAGATTCCTTGCTTAGCCCTAGCAAATTCTTCATGGTTTAAAATTGTTGAGATAGACACATCTAATATTGGATATGGTGGTATTCTTAAACAAAATAATCCAGAAACAGGAACAGATGAGCTTGTTCGCTTCACTTCAGGAGCTTGGAAAAATGCACAATTAAATTATTCTACTATTAAGAAGGAAATTCATTCTTTAGTAAAATGCATTTATAAATTCCAAGATGATTTAATTAATCAGAAATTCTTGTTACGCATTGATTGTAGTGCTGCTAAACAAGTACTGGAAAAAGATGTTAAAAATTTAGTTTCCAAACAGATATTTGCTGGATGGCAAGTTGATTTATCTGCTTTTGATTTTTCTATTGAATATATTAAAGGCAGTTCTAATTCTTTACCTGATTTTCTAACCCGTGAATTTTTACAAGGTTCATGAGTCAGGCCCATACTGGGCAGGGCCATGGTAATACCATAAAAGGCCGTGGTAAAGGCAGGGCAAAAGCCAAAGTGGTTATACCACCCACTGATGATCAGTATCTAGCTTTGGAGCATCTGTCTGACTTGCTTCGAACTCCTACTCAAAGAGAAAGCTCACAGAAGAAAACCATGAAAGAGGTTCTTATAACAGAAACTCCATTGATACCTAATTCAAGATATATTCAGATAGTATTGGTTCTGGATCCTCATGATGAACAATGAATGCCAGATCCTTGGGAAGTAAAATCTAGATATTTCCAAACACAGCAATATGCAGCACCAGATAGTCGCCATAGATATGTCTATGAAACCATGCTTACTGAAACTTCCTCTGTGGAATTTACCCACACAAAGAAATTTCCGAATTCCAAAGATAGTCCTCTTACTTATAGTAAAGCTATCTTTAAAAAGTTTTATAAGCCTTCTGACTGGGGATTAAATCCTAACTTATCCAGAAAACTTGCTTTCGGGCATAATTATAATTACTGGGATTATATCTCAGCATGGACATATTCGTTCTTTTATAAAAATCCAACACATAAACATACTTGGTTTTTCAAGATATGCCCTTAATCTTTTGAGGTTGATTTCCCAAATTGGGCTATTCCTTGGTGGGCTATATTTGGTCCAGATCTGGATATTCTACCAGAACCGATGAGGCACTTATTCCTTCCATGGCAGCAGTTCCATCCTCATCTCAGAGGACAAGATAATATTTATGCGGGCAAATCCACCATCTTGTTCTTTACAGAATTTGGAATCCCTTGGATTTGGAGATGGGATTTCCAATGCAATAATAATTCTGATAAGCTGTCCATCTTGCAAAGGGTTTTTTATTACAGATGGTGGGCAAGCATGTCTCAAGAGCCATCTATTACAGCTCTCTTGAACCTCATTAAACAGAAAACAGTGGAATATCAGGATGGTATTCCTAAACTGACCTTAACTCAGTTTCCAAATGCTACTGATATCTTTAATCCTTTTGAATTGATTAAAGATATGATCAGAAACCAGCAGCCATTAATTACTGAAACCGATTTAATGGTTAAATGCATGGATTTTATGAAAAACCAAATTTGTCAATACATTTGGTTCTTCTACTTCCACAGTTCCGGATGACATATCCATGGTATCAGTATCCAGCCAAGATGGTAATCAGTATTCCAGTCTCGCTGGCGAAGCACAAGATCCCAATGAAGATCTTATCCAGGATGAGAACCCCTCTGCGGAAGATTATTGGAATTCTTTAACCATCCACTTGAAAGAAAAGATGAAGGCTCCCAAGCAGTAGAGATTCTCTCTTATCCTACCGATAGAAGATGACAAAGCACTTTCCCCAAAGTCTTTGTGTCTACAGTATATTTCTTGTCCGAAGTTGATCATTACTATTCGACAAGAAGACAGAACGTAGTGGTGGACCATCCGACTGCATTGTTCTAGCACACGTCATCCAACCACTATGCGGACTTCAAATTTCAAATTTCGAGTCCATATTTATGTATAAATAGAGGGCAATGTTTCCCCTCAATGTATTTTTCAGTTTTTTTTTCTCTCTTTTGTAATATTTCCCAGTGTACTGTATTTTGAAGTTCAATAAAGACGAAAGTTTCTGTAAGTGTTTCAAAGTTATTTTAATTACTGTTTATATTGTATAAGTTATTGTTGTACTTATATCATTTGTTTATTATATAATCGATCAAATATATTGTCATTGGACTATATTAATAATTAAAATTCCAACCAAATAAAAGAGAAACATGTATTATAAATTTATAAGTGAGAATTAATTTTCAACCTAACTAAAATAAGATGGAAGGAATGTGTTTAAAGTATTAAGATCCGGCTTGAAGTAAATTTGTTGAAAAAGTAAATTTTTGTCGGGGTCACGGGTTGATAACAACCATGGCCGCCAGGTGTTCATAGTGAAGTCATTTTTGCACTGGATACCATGTGAATGCAGTAGTGATTTAAAATAATAATAATAAAAAAAAAGAGCCATGTCATTTAGTATATACATATAAATATTTATTATTTGAAAATATGTAGCAAATTGTCAATTTTGTCCAAATTTTTATAAAAATTCTAAACTACAGTTATTAAAAAATAAAAATAATTGAAATAATTGAATTTTATTTATTTATTTATTATTTTGCTTTAGGACATTTTAGGTATTTCAGTCTTCAAATAAAGAAAATTTTCTTATTTGCACAATATGAAAAATGCAAGGAGTTTTTTTAAATATCAATGGAGTATTTGCACACTCTGTATATAACCCGAGATTTTTTTTGCACACTTAGGGGTGGCAATTTATGCCCAAATTTATTAAATTGTTTAAATTCGCCTACTAAAATTAAATTATTTGATCATCTAAATTTAAGTAAGTGGGTCAATAATAAGTAAAAAGTGAGTATTAATGTAATTTAAAGGTCAACAGTAACTACTCAAATTAATTCGTTCAAACAAAATTTTTATTTTATTTTTTGGGTCAATGATAACTCTTTCAGTCTGACACTTCAACTTCCTATATATATAAATTTATATAAAAAATAAGACCGGCAATGATACTATAATAAAATAATAATATAATTTTAATATATATATATATAGAGAGAGAGAGAGAGAGAGAAGAATATGAGTCATGTTTCTTCCACTGGTGCGATCAGAATTTAGTTCTCGGCCTGTTAACAACAACTGCGGGCCAAACCCAGGTGAGATTCCCCCCAGCCCAAACTTTGAAGCTGGGCATATATATATATATATATATACACACACACGCAAAAGTACTACTGGAGTTAGTTAGTTAGTTAAAAAAAAAAAAAAAAAAAGACAAACAAAACAAAACATTTCAGTAATATTAATATGACTCGTATATTAGAGGGTTAAAACTTATCACATTGTTCAAGTTAAATGAAAGATTCCAATTCATCAAACTAGTTCCATTCGCATTGGAAGGCCAGAGCCATGGAGTGTGAAAATTATCTCGGGGTGGGTTTATGCATGTGAGGTATTGCTCAGACCTCAGTGAGACAAAATGACTTGGACCATTAGTGCACGAGTTGAAAATGATCATAGCAAGAAATAATTTTTTCAGAGAGTGAATGGTTTGATATTTTATGTTAGGAATGAACATGTCTTTTTTTATTAAAAAAAAAAAAAGTTATTATTTCCTTTGGGCGTGCTGGTGTGTTTGTGTTATTATTATTATTATTTTTTTTATTTTTATTTTTTTATATATATTTCAATTATTAATCAAGAAGTTAAAATTATGGCACAGCTTTTTCATATGCATACATAGAAACTGAGGACACAACCATGCAATGCAATCTTTTTTAACATTTGACACGGACAAAATCCTTTTTTCACTTCCGTGGGAATGAGTTTTTATAACTATTTACTGAATTAAGTTAATTTTTATCTTTTTCAATTTAATATGGTAGTCAAAGAAACTTTGTTTGAGGATAAAAAATAATAATAAAATAAAAAAAAATTTAAACTTTATTTGTCATTTTAAATTTGTTGACAGTTGAGGTTAATATCAGAAGTTTGCCATCACAAAAGATCCAGTTTGCAAGGAAAAAAAAAAAAAAAAAATTGGAACGAGTTGACCCGTTTTTGACCGACCCATTTGAACCCTTACCCATTTATGATCCGCCACTAATAAATTGGGAATGGATTAGTAACCCATTCAAAACCCACCCAAAACCCAGCCAATTGCCACCCCAAAATGAACCTCTCCATCTGAAGAAAGTATTTGCCTCACTTGCTCATCATGTAGAGCTGCAAAAAGTTTCAACTAAGAAGAGTCCCTTTGCTGAGTCAAAAATATATCCCCATCTACAACTTGCCATAAGAGTTCTGTTAGAGTTGAAAATCTCTATTAAGGAAGCCATTAAAAAAATTCAAAATTCTCTTCAAAGAGAACAAAATTATTAATTTCTAAAATTATCTACTCTCTCGATCTAAAAAAGAGTCTCTTTTTTAGGGAATCGTGACTCACATGGTTCTCCAAAAAAAAATGACTCTTTTTGAGATGAGGGAGTACTAGTTTTTTCATTCTTTTCTCTTTTACTCTTTAAATTCATATTAAACTAGATGCCTCACAACTTGGATAAGAGTTTCCCGTAAAATTTGGAGTGGCCAAAAAAAGTTAAAATTTTCTTCTTAAATTAAACTCTAATTTTCTTTTTCTTCTAAGTTTCGATTATTTTTCTTTTCCTTCTATTTCTTTAAATTATTTTTCTTTTTTTTTTTTTTTTTTTCTTAACAATGCCCCCTGAACAGAACTATTGCCTCCACGTTAGAAGGTGAGGAAATTAAATTCACATTTAAATAGTATTGTGATTTGAGAACTACAACTCCACTACATGCAAACAGAAAACTACCTATTGCTAGCCAATAATATCCAGCCCGGTAATTGTAGATTCCGGAAATAAAACAATCCAAAAGGGCTATTAGTATCCAATTTTTCAGAACACACGTACAAGTATTTATTTAATTGTTCGTGGTTTGAAGAACGTATGGATGAACGATAAAAGTGAGCTCTAAATCCTAATGACTCAGATGGCTTCGTATAATGGAACCAACTATAGTGTTGCATAAAATTCAAAGTTTGTTACAGACACATATCACAATTTCTTAAACAAAAAAAAATAGGAAATATAAGGGTGATGATCAATACACAACTTATTCAAAAAAAAAAAAAAATACCCCTTTCATGATTAGTTAAATAACAACGGATGGGCATCCTGTGATGGCAATACACTACTACCCAAATGAGACCGTGTCAAAGTTGAAGCAACATCCCAACACATTGTGAGTTCATTTACTACACATTCATCTTCTTCATAATTTGGTTGAATAGTAGATACTCCATGCAACGTTCTAATCCCTTCCAATTCAATTGTAACTTCTTTCATTGTAGGCCTTTTTCTCCCACTTGAGTTTAAGCATCTTTTTGCAAGGTTTGCGACTCGCGTGATCTCTTCTTTCCCACTCGCTTTGGAAACTCGAGCATCAAGAATGTCAAATAAACAGTTCTCTTTCATCATCAATTTGAAATATGCTGCCAAACTTCGTTCTACAGATCTAGTTGATAAGATTGGTTTTTGTCCAGTTAAGAGCTCAACAAGAACTACTCCAAAGCTATAAACATCTCTTTTTTCTGTAAATTGGCTTGATTGGAAGTATTCCGGATCCAAGTATCCAAAGGTTCCCTGTACTAGTGTGGTCATATGAGTTTGATCAATGGCAATTGATTTTGAAGTCCCAAAATCCGACACTTTTGCTCTGAATTTGTCATCCAACAAAATGTTTGTGGATTTGATGTCCCGATGATAAATTGGTAAGGAAGCTGCTGAATGAAGATAGGTTAGAGCCCCCGAAACTTCTATAGCAATTCGAATACGAATATCCCAGGTAAGTGGAAACTCTTCGTTTTGCTCATGGATATACTGGTAAAGGGTTCCATTTTGGATATATTCGTAAACCAGCAAGGGAAATTCTGCCTCCAAACAACACCCATGCAGCTTAACCACATTCCTATGGTTTATTTGTGACAAAATAACAACCTCATTAATAAATTGTCCAAGGTTGCTTTCATCCACTGTCTTGGACTTTATAACTGCTACAATTCTACCATCAATCAGCATTCCTTTGTATACAGTACCTTACCCTCCTTGACCAAGGATTCGGTTATCATTAAAGTGGTCAGTCGCCTTTTCCAACTCCTTTAAGGGAAAAAGTTTGGTTTTTTCAACATTACCTTGATCACCCGAAGACAATTGTTGTTGCAATAACAGATTTTTAAAGATTTTTCATTTGAGCATGAGTTTCTTTCTCCTCTTCACCAATTTATACAACCACCATATTCCAATAAGTAGAAGTAGTAATCCAATACTTGTACTTAAACCTGCAAAACTTAGTTGGAAAAGGTCATTTAATCAACCTAAACATCTGATGGTTGAATTTAAATACTATTTGTCAGCTTATTTGGTTGCTTTGTGTGTTTTACAAGTATTTTTTTTTTTTTTTTTTAATATAGGAAAGAGAGAAAAAATAGCAAAACTTATCATTATAGAATTAGAACCTTAATATAACTTAATAACTTAAATTCAATTATGTTATTATATATCTTTGTTTGGGAGACTTTTTTATTATTAAATGTTCAAATAATTAAAACTAGAAGTTACAATTTTTTACGATGAATGAGTGACATCTTTCTTGTGAATAAGAACCATAATTTAAATAATCCTTTAAAGTTTATTATAATTATATTTTGATTTGGAATTTTCTAATATTGGTTAACTTTTAAAGAGACACCCAACAAAAATGTAGAGAAGTTAAGAGAGTACAGAAGAGAATATATATATATATATATATATATATATATATATATATATATATATACATACATATATATATAGATATATCACATTATTATTAAATTTATGAAATCATGACAACCTTCAAAATTTAGTTAAAAAAAATCACTTCGAAGAGATAAAAGAAAGTTTATTTTTGTTTGCTTATACATATCATAGAAAAGTGTAAAAAAATTGCCTTCAAAAATGAAAAAAAATTATGATATATATATATATATATATATATATATTAGAATCAACTTTATAAAATTACAAAGACATTAAAATCTTGTAAAAGGACAACTATTTGGATTATAAGGTCAAACTCAATGTTACTCCACTAGATTGTTAAAAATATTATATATAGAATATTAAACATTGAAACTTTGAAGAGATAGAGAGTTATGGTTGATACGCGACAAAGGGAAAAAAAAATTATATAGAGATTTTTCCTTAAAAATAAGAAATTAAAATGAAAAAAAAATGAAGCTTTGGAGAATAAGAGTAAAAATGCTACACACATCTAAAACAACACAATCCATTTATTAATTTGCAATAGAACAAGCAAAGGAAAATTGCAATAAAGAATGATACCTAAAGTGGATATGTTTTTCCTAACCAATGAGGATTTGCTAGTCGAGGTCTAGTGGACTAATAATAACATAAGATTTGATGATGTTCTAAAAAAAAAAAAAATTAAATTTTGATTAAATAACATATCACGATAATAAGCCATTCTTTAAAATATATAATTTATAAGTGGGTCAAATTTACAAATTTATAAAATCCTTTTAATACTTATCTTTAGAAAAGGAAATAAATATTAAAAAAAAAAAAAAAACCAAACTTGAGAGAGAGGTTGATTAATTTTGCACCTAAATGCCTAGGTTTCAAGAACTATAGTAGATTGTATTAAGAGATGTGGGAACAAATGATTTGATTAATATTAATTAAAAAGATATTTATAAAAGGCACAACTCCTCAATAGTAACAAATTTGGTGTTCTAAATGTACAACTCTTAAATAGTCGTTAGTATCAAACTATTAAGAAATAGGAATAACAATTGTATGTAAATACTAATTAGGAATAAAATTTTAAAAGTCACCACTCTTCAATATTAAGATATTTGAAAGCACACAACTCTTGATATTTGAAAGCACACAACTCTTATAGTAGTTAATACCTAAATTATTGGTGACTCTTAAAACATGAAAAGTCACAAAACAATTATTTATTAAAATAACTGCTTTAAATTCTAAATAATCATATTAATTCTGAAAGAACGATTGATTGATAACCATTAGAAAGAAATCTAAAAAGACACAACTATTAAATAATAGTTAGTTAGTAGTTGTAATAGACCACCAATAACCTAATTTTAAAAAGGTAACTCTTAAAACATAAAAATACAAATAAATAATTTTTAAATTTAAAGATCTACTTTAAAATGTATATAAATTTTATAAATCCAATAAAGCTATAGAGTTATAAATAATAAAAAAATTAATAGTTTAAATCTGTATGAATATTAAAAATTTATGCAACATTGGTACTGATCATTAAGATTGGCAATGAGAGAAAAATGATTCACCGTTCACTTTCAAAATAGAAAAGAACGAATTTTAAAACGCAAATGAAAATATATAATTAATAATTCATAAAAGATTTATAATTTATTCTCATAGGATTTACAACATAAAATAACTAAAAAATTTATAAAAATAGTAGAACAATAAACATTACACGATTGTTTCTTTGTTTTAATACTTTAAAGGTCTCATGCTCTAATATTGCGTCTCAATCTATAATGTGAGCACTTAAAAATTTTAAAAAATAAATAAAAAAACTGCCATATGAATTTTATGTGCAATAAAAGTAAGAAATAATGAAAAATTAAAGAAACTCATCTTCATTTGTGACTCAATAGTGTTATCTATTTTCTTAAGATGGATAATGCTAATATATATTGTGTATTATCAAAAATTATCTGAAACTCACAACGTAAAATTCTAGTAACATAGGAGAAACAGATTTATTTATTAAAAACATTGCAAGAAATATACTTTCCAAAAAATAAGGCTGTTGCACATGAACCAAATTATTACTCTCATGTTTCAAAGTTGTAGATTGAACATTAGAAAAAAACACGAGACAAGATCTTTTTACATAGACAAGTAGAAAGGGAGATATAGTTTGCAACATGAGTTCAACTTAGACATCATTTATATAAGATATATACAGATTTTTGGAAAAAATGAATGTAAAATTGACATTATATAAGTTCTAACCAGCAACGTTCTACAGTCGTGAACTTTCAATTTTCAAACAAACAACTTAAAACTGAAACGACACTTATAAAATATTTAAATCAAGTATATATTATTATTATTACCAAAAATTGTATATAAAAAATACAAATAAAATGAACAGTTGTAAAGTTTCAAACAACAACTTGAAACGGAAACGATGCTTATAAAATATTAAAATCTAGTATATATTATTATTTCAAAAAAGTGTATATAAAAAATAAAAATAGAATACACTTTTATAGGGTAAATAGATAATAGAAAATATTAATGGAGAAAAGCAAATGAGAGATGGAGAAAAAAACCTAGTGTAATTGTTAGTTATTTGTTTTTCCTTCAATTGCCAATTCGTTTACTTTGTTAAAATATGAAACACAAATGCAAAAAATAATAAAGTGTAATGTGTATTAAAATAGAGGATATTATGGTCTTTTTAGTTATCACCACGTTAGATTCAAGGTCAAATGTCGAATTTTCAAATTAAAATTCGAGATGAAAATTCTTTAAACGAAATGGAGGATATTAATTTTCCAACTTCTTTAAAATAAACAGTTTGGTTTGCTCAACGTAACCTTAATCAGCGGAAGACAATTATTGTTGCAATAACAAACCTTCATTTCATTTATAGAATTTTCATTTGAGCCTGAGTTTCTTTCTTCTCTTCACCAATTTATACAGCCACCATGTACCAATAAGTAGAAGTAGGGATCCAAAACCCGTACTAATAACAGCAAAATTTAGGAAATTAAGAGTTTTGAAAGGGACACTTATTTTAGAACATCTCAAAATTGAAAAGGAGATACTCTATTGGGCTCAAGTTGGGATGAAGTAGTGTTCTTTCTCATTCTTATTTTTCTTTTTTCTTAAATATTTTTCAGCATCACATTTCTATTGAAGGACTAGATCCAATATTTACTGAAAAATGGTGTTTTAGAATTAATGTCGTAGTTTTGGTCTTAACTTGGTACAACAAATTGTCTTGACTCTGTTAGGGTGCCTGTGCATTTATGTGAAAGAAGGGGCATACCTATGATAGTAATTCGAATTTTCTTCTTGTCCGCTGGAGGTCCTGCACATTCATCAATATTTAATAATTAACCAAAATCAAACAAAAATGGTTACCCAACTAATTTGTATGCCGCGTGCTTAGCTTGACAGAAATTTATCACAAAGTACAAGACGTGTTTCAGTATTAGGCAGATGGTTAAGATATTATGTTTTCGGTAATAGGCAGATGGTTAAGATATTATGTTTTCAGTACTATTATTGCATGCAGATTGATATTTTTTGTATGTGAGCTAGGACCAAATTTATATTTGCAGAATGAGTAGTTAATTAAAATATGTACATGCATACCTGGACATCCACCGGATAGATATGGGTTTGGATCCCGATCTGAGTATCCTCCGATAAAATTACAAAAGCATCTGAGGAGGCCCGAAGTGACATGGGCCGGATCTGACCTGCAAACGCGACATCTGGTCCGTACAGATGGGTCAGGCCCATAGAAAGACACTGCCATATGGGCTGAACGCGAATAGCCCATCAAAGATGACCAAAACTCACAGAGGAATGGGCCTAGATCTAGCAGCCCATCAATGTTTGTAAGTATCTATAAATAGAAGAAGTAATGGATAGAGGAGAGGGAGATATTTTTTGGTTGAAAGGTAAGAATTCTAGAGAGAGAAAGGGAGGATGAATTTCATGCATCTTTAATTGGCGCCGTCTGTGGGAAGCGTTGAAGATTGATTGATCATTGATCAATATCGTGTGGATTCAGACCAATTTGTGGAAACGAAACTCGATCTTTGGGAGTTGGATCCAGATCTGAGCGATTGTGACCTACTCTGGAGGAATTTTAGTTCCTGTTGCTTTGGCGAAAGTGGCTTCAGATCTACACAACAACGAGTTGTTCGATTGTGGCAGGATCTGACGGATTTAGAATTCGGACAATTCAGATCTCGTCAACCGTAAGCATAATTCGGAGAATTCAAAACCAGATCTGAAAAATTCGCACTCACGAAGCTCAGATCTATTCACGAATTTGAGATTAATGCCTTTACTCCGTTCAGGAATAATGATAGGTGAAAGCTCCAATCCGATAGAGGCTGTCCAGTAAACGAAGCTTGAGGAGTTAATGAACTTGATTGAAGCTCTCAAAAAAGAGAATGCAGAATTGAAAGCTGGAATGCAACATCAGCAAATACCCGCGGTTTCGCATCCACTTCCGGCCGGTGAAGGAGGTGTTCAATCTAATATCGCGCATCAAGGCGAGCAGGATGAGAACAATCAGTCAGCTCTCCACCGTGATGAAAGGAGGATGGACGATTTGCCGCCAAATGTTCGTCGAGTTGAGGATCACGAAGGATCGACTCACGTTGATCCGCGACATGAGCAGATCAGACAGAATGAGGCCATGACCTTCGATCCGCATCGGGAAAGGTTCAACCGAGAGGAAGTGATAGAGGTTGATCGCCGTCGAGTTGTGTCGCCTTGGCAAAGAGAGCTCATAAAGGAACGGTCGTTCGATCCGTCTTACCGGCCCTCCATGGCTACTATCACTCATCGCGGTTCGGAGAGTAGAACCGTAGCTCACAGAGCTACCGCTGGGCTCCAGAGAGAGAATAAAGCACTCCGATCCGCGGCTCGGACGGTTGATTCACCATTCACTGACGAGATCCTGAATGCCCCGCATCCAAGGAAGTTTGCTATGCCAGTCTTTATTCTGTTTGACGGAACAACCGATCCGATCGATCATGTGTACCATATCCAGTTGAAGATGGCCCTGAATACGGAAAACGACTCTTTAATGTGCAAATGTTTCCCCACAAGCCTAGCTGGACTGGCGCTCAGCTGGTTCAAGAACTTGCCTAGGAGCTCCATTGGTAGCTTCCGAAACCTGTGCGATCGGTTCATAAGCCAGTACTATGGGAACAAGCGTCCGCCGAAGGACATCTCGAGCCTATTCACAATGAGATAGCACAAAGATGAACGTCTCCAGGCTTTTTTCACCAGGTTTAATCTCACTAAGAGTATGGTGATCGAATGCCACCCTTCTACAGCAGTTCAAGCCTTCAAGTTAGCCATGACATGTGGCACTCCGTTCCATACCAGTCTGGTAGTGAACACGCCGACGACTATGGATGAACTCAATGAAAGAGCCGATGGCTTTGTGCGCCTAGAAGAAGAGGAGGCAGCCAATGCTCGGACAGCGTCGCTCGTGTCAACCGAGGAAAAGTCCAAGGCAAAGATCAGGCAGAAGCAGGCTCAGCCGCAACGTCAAACCTCCTGGAAGGCAGAAAAGAGGTCCAGGGAGGAAGAGCTGATCACTCCGCTAAAGGTCACTCTAGCGAGGCTATATCAGGAGAACAAAGATAAGTTCCATCCACCACTGCCAATTAGGCAACCCCTCGAACAGAGGGATCAGACTAAACATTGTGCTTTCCATTCCGATTTCGGTCGTCAGACTAACGAATGCAGGAATTTGAGAAGGTAAGTGGAGATGTTGATAGCTAGAGGGGAGTTCGCGAGTTATGTTCAAGGCTCGGCAACAGAGCAGAATCGACCGATGGAACAAATAAAAAGGAGTCATAAACAAAGCTCCCATAATTCACAACTAGTTCGTATAATCAATGCTATCCACGGTCGACCCGAGCCCAGCGAAGATTCAGATGAGCTACTCCGAGCGCGCCTACGGCAGGCGCAGATGAAGAAAAGGGTCAGTAGTGTGAATACTCCACACCAGCAGATCACATCGATGCAGATAAAGTTCGACAGGACAGACCTACAGCGTGTTCAAGTCCCCCATGAAGACCCGTTGGTAGTCAGTTTGACAGTGGCGGACTGCCTGGTGCGCAGAGTTCTGATCGATCCCGGGAGCAGTGCGAATGTCATGCCGAGGGACACATTTGATCGGCTCGAGATTAAACCAGAGAGGCTCAAGCCCACTGGAAATCCCCTGTTAGGGTTCGATGGCAAGAGGGTGGAGCCCGTCGGAATGGTGGAAGTAGAAGTTCAAGCTGCAGAACGAGTTCTTATGGAAACTTTTGTGGTTGTGGAGATTCACCCCTCGTACAATCTCCTGATGGGAAGAGGATGGATTCACAGAGTCCAAGGTGTACCCTCAACTCTGCATCAGGTCATGAGGTGCCTCGGACCCGATGGAAATAAGGTGATAGACATTCGTGGGGATCAGGTTGCAGCCAAAGAGTGCTATTCCGTCACACTAAAGTATGCTGGGAAAGGGAAGGCGCCCGTCCGATCGGCGAGCCCCAGATAGCAATTACAGGAACCTCCGCCCAAGCAGAACAGGGTGGAGGAGCTAGTTGACCTGACCGAAGAGCCCCTTCTGGATGTGCAGATCGATCAGTCCAGGCCAGAGCGAACTACCAGAGTAGGAGTAAGACTGACCAGGGAAGAGCAGCAAGAATTAATTGACTTCTTATCTCACAATGCCGATGTATTTGCATGGAGTCACTTAGACATGCCTGGAATTAATCCCTCTGTATCCTGTCATTCCTTGAATGTCAATCCCAATTTCAAACCAGTAAAACAGAAGCAACGAAGATTTGCTCCAGAACGTAACCAAATCATAGCCGAGGAAGTTGATAGGCTGCTTGATGCGGGATTCATTAGAGAAGTGCACTACACTGATTGGTTGTCCAACGTCGTTGTCGTACAGAAGAAGAATGGGAAATGGCGAGTATGCATCGATTTCACCAATTTGAACAAAGCCTGTCCGAAGGATAGCTTCCCGCTGCCAAAGATTGATCAAATGGTGGATGCCACCACCTGGTATGAGCGTTTGACCTTTCTGGACGCTTATTCAGGTTATAATCAGATCCCTATGGACCCGGCAGATGAAGAAAAAACTTCTTTTGTAACTGAGTGAGGGACATACTGCTACAAAGTTATGCCTTTCGGACTAAAGAACGCGGGAGCAACTTATCAAAGACTTGTTAGCAAAATTTTCAAGGATCAAATAGGAAAGACTGTGGAAGCCTATATTGATGATACGGTGGTAAAGAGTAGAAAGAAGGATGAACATCTGAAACATCTGCAAGATGTATTTGATGTGCTGAGGCGATATGGGATGAGGCTCAATCCAACCAAGTGCTCATTCGGTGTGAGTTCCGGTCAGTTTTTGGGACACGTGGTCAACCGCAAAGGCATCGAAGTTAGCCCCGCTCAAGCAAAGGCTTTGATTAAGAATGCCGAGCCAAAGACGATCAGAGAGGTGCAAACCCTCACAGGACGAATAGCTGCATTAAGTCGATTCGTTTCAAAGTTGTCAGATCGCTGCAAGCCGTTCTTTGACACAATTCGGAGTCATGGAAGACAGGTCTGGGGGGATGAGCAACGACAAGCATTGACCCATTTGAAGGAATATATGCAGAATCCACCAGTCCTATCAGCCCCGGATCCAGAAGAAAAGTTATTTCTATATCTTGAAGTATCTGGTGTTGCGACAAGTGCCGTTCTGATTCGTTGCAAGGAAGGGGTGCAACACCCGGTATTTTATGTCAGTAAAACAATGACCGAGGCAGAACGAAGATACTCGAAGGCCGAACGGGTGATACTTTCACTTGTCAACGCAAAAAGAATGTTAAGGCATTATTTCGAATCCCACCCTATAGCTGTTCTAACAACTTTTCCAATCAGAGTGCTTATGCATAAGCCAGAGCTCTCGGGCAGAATGACAAAGTGGGCCATAGAGTTAAGTTCATTTGACATAACGTATGAGCCGAGAACAGCTGTCAAAGGACAAGCGGTAGCCGATTTCCTGCTAGAATGTGACTCTGAGGATACGTAAGAAGACCTTAGGTGCGGCTCTTGGAAACTTTATGTGGATGGCTCCTCTAACCAGATAGGGGCTGGAATTGGGGTTAAACTGCAAACCCCAGAGGGTACTTCTTTGAGTCAAGCACTCAGACTTGAGTTCCGAGCCACCAATAATGAAGCGGAATACGAGGCGTTGCTGAATGGGTTAAAGTTGGCCAGAGAGCTACAGGTCAGAAATTTGACTGTTTGTAGTGACTCACAGTTGATTGTTCGGCAGGTAAATGGTGAGTACGCGACCAAGGATGACACGATGGAGGCATATCGTTCTGTCGTTCTGCATAAAGCCAAGGACTTTGCAAAGATTGAATTCATACAGTTACCGAGGGAACAGAACGCAGATGCGAACCGGTTAGCGTGTAGTGCTTCGAGTTCTGGTGAGACATTGGCGAGGGTGATTCCAATAGGAATATTGACTCAGCCATCTATTTTCGAAGAACCTTTGGACTCTGACCCTTGGCAGGTCAATGTCATACCGTATGAACCGAGTTGGATTGACCCCATCATCACTTATATTCGAGATGGCGTTTTGCCTATGCAAAGGGATGAAGCTAGGAAAATCAAAAAGAATGCTGCAAAATACG